AGGAATGCCTTGGAGACAGCTCACTTAGACTGGGAAGATCACGTATGCCAATGTTGCAACCTCCTTTGCTTGAGCTGAGAGACCTTACTTTAGTTTATAAATAGGGTTATGCCCCATCTCTTTTTATGTGGTGTAGAGTCAAAAAGGAAGAGCCTTCTTGCTCTCTCAGCCCCGGACTGCGACGTCAGCCGAACTTCTCCTGGGAGTTGCAGGCGTGCACGGGGGGAAGGTGCTGGTGGGACCAGACTGGGACCTTCTCTTCTCCTTCCTCTCTCCTCCCTAAACAAACCAGTTCATCAGTCCCAGTGAGGGTTCCTAGTTAAAATCACAGACCCCCGTGCAGAAGAGCCTGCTCAGAGGTGGGACTGGCTCTGAAACCAGCCTGTTTGGAGGCCACGCGTTGCCCTGCTGTTGGGAGGTGGGAGAGCAGCAGGACGGGGCAGCTCTGCCTCTGCCATCGGGAGCCCCACGGGTGCGTGGCCACGCTCGGGGTGGGTGTGTGTTGCTTGTACAAAGGTGGGGGATGTCCTCATAGAATCATAGAATCGCTTAGGTTGGAAAAGACCTTTAAGATCATCCAGTCCAACCATTAACCTACACTACCAAGTCTACTCTAAGCCAATCAAGGGTAGACTAGACTAAACCATGTCCCGAAGTGCTCCTCCTCGGAGCAGGTCAGGAGATGCCAGGGAGGAGGACCCTGTTCAGCATCACAGGGCGTGGATAAAACTGCTGCACGGGAGCATGGCCCAGGGTGACGGGGAAAAGCTCTCCCCACTTTGCTGCCGTTACGGGAATGGCAGTGTTGGGCTCTAAGCGGTACGTTTTCCCTGAAGGCTTCTAGCCAGCAGAAGATCTGCTGTGAGCAGTGTGGTTTGTCCCGATGCTTCTCAGGGCATGTTTAGTTTTACAGGGATATAGCCTTAGGAAAAGCTCATGTGTGTCTTGAGCCTCTCGGCCCAAGTTGAGTGCTCCAGTGGTGAAGAAAAGGACTTTGTTGGACTAAGGAAATCCATCCTCTCTGGGTTGGACTTGGAGAGGAACCTTTTCAGAGTGCTGAAGCCCCGCTCCCCCTCCTCCATCCCGCGGGAGGATGCGGATGTGGCAGGGAAGTGGTCAGAAACAGGATCTGCTCCAGTCCTTTACCACAGCTACAGCACGACGGGCTTTTTTCTCCCCATCCCAGCCTCCTGCAAGGCTTTACCACCACTGGAGTATTGCGTGGCTGTTGGATTTGTGCGTGTGGCCAGGATGGAGCGGGCCGTGGATGCTGCTTTAATTAACTCTTAGTGCTGCCCCTAAGGTCAGGACACAGGGGGACTTGTCAAGGGAAATTCAGACTGTTGCCTCTGCCTGCTCTCCTGGCTTTTGCTTTTCATCTGGGACTTCGAGAAGTTTGGGGGTGAAGGCTGCCACGAGCTGCATCTCGGAGCTCTCTGCTCCCGCTGACGTGCCTGTCCCTGTGCTTGCTCCCTGTCTTTCAGGAAGATCATGGACTCGGGAGAGCTGGATTTCTACCAGCACGCGAAGGTCTGTTCCAACACCTGCCGGAGCACCAAAATCGACCTGACCGGAGCCCGGGTGTCCTTAACCAGCCAGTCATCGACGGAGTACATCCCTCTCACTCCCGCTTCCACGGATGGTACGTCCAGCCGTTCCTCGCACCCGAAACAGGGGCTTTGAAGCATTAAAGCACGACGAATGCCGCGTAACCAACGCCCCTTACGGGTGCCTCTCTTTTTGGCTTGGCGGGTTGTTTTATCCTCTGCTTTCTCTCCCTGCTCTGTTGCAGGATTCCCCATAGCAGAGCTAGGCAGAGTCGTTGTTAGAGCATCTCGGCAGGGATGCAATAACTCACCTAGTTGCTCTGTAACACTGCATGACCCGAAGAGCCGCCCTTCTGGCCTCCTGCCTTACCCCAAACTGTGTAGCTGAAGCAGAAGACTGCAATTAATCTGTAAGAAAACAGTAGTTGTTGCTCGATGAAGTTCCCTTCTGTCCTCGCTGCCGGTCGGGCACTGTGTCCGTAGTGCTTGTCCCGGGAGGCAGGGATCAGCCTGGCTTCTCCTGCCGTGCAGGGTGCCAGGGTAGGAGTCCCTCCTCCCCCTGGCTCTAACCTGAATTCTTCCAGAATAATTTAGGGATTTTCATTTAAGGCTCCCTGGTTGAACTGTTACTGGGTTTGTCTGATGAAAGATTAAAGAGAACCAGGGGATACAACAGATTTTTTTTTTTTTATCTGCACTCATGCATGTAGTTTATAAAACTGGATTTAAATGCTGTTGCGGCCACATAGCTGTTGCCCTAAACTTAATTTGACCTATAGTTACAGGCAACTATTTTATTGGAAAGCTGTCTAATTTCTAAGTACTTTTATACTTCTGAGAGTTCAGAACAGCCCCCAAAGAGCCCCCCACCCCGAGCTCCTGATGGTGTCTGTGGGAGCACAGCAAGGACAGGGCGAGCCCCTTTGCCGGCTCTGCCGAGCGCCTTCGGCACCACGGCCCGGTGTTGTGGGGAAGCCGGTGCTGATGCACGGTGCAGCGTGTCCTGAGCCCTCCCGTTAACCGTGGACATCAGCTCGCTAACGGGGGGACGCTTCCCGCGCTGCTGGGCTGCGCTGGAATAAGCAGAGCCCTGAAGGCTGCAGAGTAAAGGAGCAGAGTAATTGGATTTAATGGCAGTGGCTGAGCGTTACAAATGCTCCTTCCGCGCACCACCGCGGGCCTCTGGCCGGATTCCCGTTCCTCCCGCTCCTGCGCACGGCTTAAATGACGCCGGTTCCCCTGGCTCTATGGTAACAAAAACCGCTGAGATTTGGCAGAGCTGGAGGGAGGGAGGGAGCCAGCCCCCCTGCACCCCTGCGCAGCAGGAGGATGCTCTCCCCTTCCAGGCTTTCGAAACCCTCCGGCCATCCCAGTCCTGCAAACTGTAAGCTGGGCAAAAAAGGATTGCCAAAAAAAAAAAAAAAAAATCAGACTCTAAATCTGTTTGACTTTTGCCCTAAGCCATACTCGTGTGTACGCAGGGGGGAACGGGAGGGAAGCGCTGCTCTTGGGCGTGTGTTCTTGTGCAAGGGTTGCAGAAGTAATCCCTGGGGTATTGCACTCCAGTGTGGAAAAAATAAATACTGCTGGCACAGCAACTGCGTGCGGCTTCACCGGCCACTTGGGCATCTCTCTCCGTTCAGCTTTGAGAGCTACATTCAAATAAAAGCACTCCTATGCCATAAAAAGGAGAAGTTGCAGAAATGCAGCAAGGGAGTGCTTCCCTCAAAAGCAGCCCATGAAAAATACAGAGAAAAATCAGGACTTGGGGTTTTTTTTTTTTTTTTCTTTTCTTTTTTGCTATTGGTTGCAGTGAACGGATCCCCAGCCACGATTACCATAGAAACATGCGAGGATGCCAGCGATTGGAGCACCAGCATCGGAGGTACGGCTTGGGATGCTGCCGGGCTCGGGGCGTCTGGGGCAGAGGATGGAGGAGGCGTAGGGAAAAAGGGAAACGGCAGGGATGAGGAGCAGGACCTGGCTGCCCAGAGCAGCCCTGCTTGAGCCTCCACTGGGATTATTCGTTTGCCACTTACGGGCGCGTAGGGCTGCGTTATATCCCGCCTGTGTGCGGTCTGACGGCGCCATCGTCTTGGGATGAAGTTGTTTCTAAGCACTGATATGTCAAAGCGTTGGCCAGATGCTTGGTGTGGCTCTAGGGGAGGAAAAAAAAAAAAAATCAGACTGGTCATAAAAATCATTCTTGCTCCTCTGTGTGCTTTGAGCAACGGGCTTTTCTGTAGCATCGGTGTCCTGTTTGTGTGACAGAGGATGGGGACCATGTGTCCTTTTCCAGCTGCCCCTCCTTCGGGCACAGCTCCCACTGGGCTTTGCCCCAGCACCCTGTACCTGGGAGGCTTCACCCTTGCAGGGGCCAGAAGGGGAACCCAGAGCGGAGCACCGTTCAACGCCCCCGCCGAGGATTTTGAAGTTCTCCCTTGCTTTCTCTTTCTCCAGATGACACCTTTGCTTTCTGGCGAGGCCTGAAGGACACGGGTCTCCTGGAAGAAATAATCCATGAGTTCCATCAGGAGCTACTGGAGACCATGAAGGGCCTGCAGCAGCGAGCACAGGATCCCCCGCTGCAGCTCGCTGGTAAGGACCTGGGCACGGGTGCTCAGAGGCGTCTCAGGAGAGGGGCTTGTGGATTTTTTTTTCTCCTTAGGGATGTCTGGGTGGCACTGTAGGGACGTAGTTCATCGTAACTCAATCCCATTCCTGGCTGCTCCCTGGGGAGGCTCTCGGCTGTGCTCGGGGATGCTTCAGGTGGCCTCGGTTCTCCAGTTCCCTGTGCCTGCGGCTTCCTGCCTGCTGGCTCTGGGTCTGGACAAGCGCTTGGCTTGGGAGCTGAGGTGGAATTTAGGCCATCGGAATAGCAATGCAGCACCCAGCTACTGTGCCAGCAGATTTCTTATCACCGCTGCTAAGCAGGAGAGGACTGTTTATACGCTAGTGACCCCTTGCACTTTCCCATGACTTCTCCTGTCTTCTCTTCCCCAGCCTCTTGCGTTACTCTCCTGCAGACTTTGGCTGTCTCAGCTGAATCTGTTTGCTGTCCTGTGGCTTTTTACCAAGCCTTAAATACTTTGCGTAGGGGATTTTTGCTTTCCTTAAAGATCTGTGTCTTGTTTTTAAGATGCTGTTTTACTCAACAACGTAGTCCAGAACTTCGGTATGCTGGATCTGGTCAAGAAGGTGCTGGCCAGCCACAAGTGTCAGATGGATCGCTCGAGGGAGCAGTACACGCGGGATTTGGCAGGTAAGCCTGTGGGACGCGCCGGTGCTCCGGCACTTCTCATCACTGCCAGCACGTTTCCTTTCTGCGTAAGAAAGTGGGATTTGTGTTAAAGCTGGTGCACGCTGGTTTAAGCCGCAGTGGGACCGGCCGTGCTGCTCCAGGCATTGCCACGGTCCCTGGGAAGCTCATCCCAGGTCCGGGCTGAGCCAACCCTCTTCTCTCTCCAGCTCTGGAGCAGCAGTGTGACGAGCACCGCAAGCGAGCGAAGGAGCTGAAGCACAAATCACAGCATCTCAACAACGTCCTGATGACCCTCACGCCTGTCTCCGTCCCCACGCCTTTAAAACGTCCCAGGCTGACCAGGGCCACCTCCGGACCAGCTGCCATCACCTCCCAAGTCCTGCCCCA